CGACGTTTCAGAGATATTTGCTGCCTCTACAATCAAAGTAGAATCCGTACCAGACAACACGGCTCAATTTCCCGGAAGGATTATCTTCACACTCGCCGCCGTGAGAACCTGAAATCGCACGTGTCTGACAGCAAAGAGTAAATGTGACTGAGGGGTTTAGATCCTGTCACGTGTCCTCCACACGCACTCTAACTCGACTGACGAAGATCAGATTTCCCTGGAAATGGAAGGTTGTTATGAAAGGCGCTTTATTCCCGTCTGTATTTACGAGCCGCTAATGGAGTTTACAGTGAGCGAGGACACATTCATTGCAACTGGTAACTTGAAACTTCGAGGAAAATATGTTTCCAGGTCTGCACCTAATGTACCTTTACAACATTACTTACGGACTGTCGCAGAAAAATATAGTATCGGTGAAACGTCAATCGGGAAATTATTTCGCAGCTGATGAGTTAGTGCCGGCGTTTGGACGGACAGACACAAAAGAAAGGTCTTTTCAAGACAAACTTATTTCTTTACTTAAGTGCCCTTAGATCTTAGCTACTGTTATGAGGTAGTCCGTAGACTTTTTCCTTTTTCAGTAGTTTTCTTTAGAAGAAGTACACAGAGCCAACACATAATAATAAAGTCTGTGTGTCCGCACATTTCACCCCCTTAAGGGACTCTAGGACTTCGACTGGATTTAACATGCTACGTGTGGGCTTTGTTCAGGATGGATACGAGTGTCAATGCTGTCCTGGCTACGTGGGTCCACACTGCGAGGAGCGCGATGGCTGCTATCCCAGCCCCTGCAGCAACTCCGGCATTTGCGTGGACATCTCGCAGGGCCACGAGGGCAACACATTCCAGTGCCTCTGTCCGTACGGTAAGTTCCAATGAAAACAGAACCATTTGCTTGGTTCCACCACAAATTTGCTTTTCGCAGTGTGTCAGTGCGTTTCATAGTTTGTATTCCACCTAATATTGTCGAAATTATTAAATCAAGAAAAAAGTTGTCAGTGGAACCACGGTTCCGGAGAATTTGACGTAAATACGTCTATACGGAAAGGAAGTTTATATATCTTGAGAGACTTAAATGGAAGAACGAATATCCGTCTGTATAATACGCAATGCTGGTTAGTCAGCATCCATTGTAGTTAAGGAGTTTTGGGTCTTATGTAATAATGTTTATAAACGTGTTATTGTAACCGTTGCCATGGTAATGCCGTTATTATAAACTTTGCATAAGATTATATTCTTTAATTAAACAAAGATAAGTAAAGATATAAATTTCATTTTTACGCAACATTAGTTAATTATAATTTTATACGCTACTTTGTAGAAACAATGCTCTGATGCAAAACACTGTTCACTTATTCATGGCACTCTATTTAGGTACGTAAAATGTATTTATTCAAGACAGCATAGCACATGTTTAAGTGTTAACGCTTCGGAGCTTTTGCAGGTAATGAAAAATAAAATAATGGTTTCAATTTTTATATGCTGCGTTTTTACACTTCTTAATAAAATATATCTTTTAATTATTACTTTCTATTTCCCAGTCATTCTTGGCGGGTAGATTTCTAGTTAATGGTTGATCTTAAAAATTGTGCAATAGATTGAACTTTCGATGTTGGTCCTTTGGGTTGTAAAACCGTGTGGACATGCAGGTACAATTTCAGGGAGGCCAACAGTAAATTTGTTTGTTTAACAGATGTAAAAAGCTGGTATCACAAAAATAATAAAATATAGCGTATCGCAAACAGCTTATACTACTTGTGTCATTTTTGCAAAGACATGAGGTAGGAATTTACTAGTTTGAAGTTCGGATGAAGACTGTCTTTGTCTGTCTCAGGTTTTATCATTCCGGTATGAAGCAAAAATCCTAAAATGAATAAGGCAAGTAAGAAATGTGGTCTCACTTTGTGTGTGCAACATTTCCGTCTTTATTTTGTATAGAACGCTTAGATTCCAGTTCATAGGAAGAGGCAGTTATCTGTGACGAACGCAGAATTTTCTTTCTGGAAGTTCCTCATTCTATGCATTCACCCCTTTTCCACTGAACTAACATAAAAGAAAACTCACTCAATAATACGTCGCATACATTTTGCTTCTAATGTCTGCGTGCGTCATCCAGCCATCCAAGTGAATGGTGCAGCTATTTAGCATGTAAAGAAACTGTATCTTCAATACCAGAAGGTCGAATGTCGTATTTTCAAAATCCATTTCACATTCTCAAGACATTTTTTTTCTTCTAAAATTCATTTTAATATTATTGCCGATCTTTACCTGCGTCTCTGAACTGAGACTCCCTTGAAACTTCGCAGCCATTGTTTAGACCTAAGTATATTTGTTTTTTACTCCACGCGTACAACACAATCCGTTGACGTTGATGTAATAATTTTAATAATATTAGGTCAAAAGCAAAAATTCATTACGTAATATTTATTATTCTCATACTTCATTTAAAAAAATTCACCTGAACACTTTGTTTTATAACGCCCTCAATCTGATCTTCCCTCAGAGAAAAAGCAAATGGTCCTCGAAACGTCGGCGATTAATCAACATCTAACACGGCTGATAGCCCGAGAAGACTTTATTAATGAAAGCCGCCGTGAAAGCTTCGCGTCATAAGACATTAAGGTGATTCGTCTTGTAACATTTAATTCTATAAAGGAATTTATAAACTGAATGGTAGCGCACGTTTGGCGAATTTTATCTGCTCTTAAAAATGAAGATCCTACAGTAAGGTTTCCGTGTCAAGTCTCAAAAGAGTGGCAAAAGAGTTCACGCACAAGGGCACTCTACGCTGCGCGGCTGTGTATTTGTCACCCTGTCGCAATTATCAAGGGATGGAGTTGTTCGCTTGCGAACACGGACACAATGGTTACACAATTAATCGAAATTATTGGATTTATTGAGGTAGAAAATTGAGTGGACGAGTTCGCAGAATCAGCAATTGTATCTGGCCACATCAGAGACAAACAGCCAACTTCTCGTTGGATCAAGGCCCCTTGGAAGGGGCTTTGAAAGTAGAATTCGATTTGATTGTTATCCACGGGCAGAAATTCAGTATCCAGTTCGCATGACACAGAGGGTTGGGAAACAAGCTTTGTCCTTATTTGTAACAAGATACTGACAGATTCGTTACTAAATTCAATTGCCTAAAATTTTTTCAGTGTACCAACAAGCTGACTCACTTATACCCTGTTCCCCCATTTTATTCACCCATTCTGTACCTTAATTTCTTTCTAGTTTTTCCTGTGTTTCTCTACCATTCCTTCTGTATCAATTTCCTTCTTCTTTCTCACCTGTCCATCATACTTTGTCCCTCTTTTAGTTCACACATCACCAACTATCTGAACACGTCCATATCACAGCTTAGTCTTTTCCAGCGGCCAAACACGATGGATAAACAGCGTGCGGGCATCGGGGTGACTAAAATGTGTCCCGAGTTAGGCACAATTTACTTAATATAGTGTATACAGGATGTAGAAGTAAAATTTTGCGCGTTAAAAATCGGTGGTCACGTTCAAGCTTCGGCCATTTTGCACCCAGAAGACTGGGCGGGTCTGAACTCCGCAGTAACGAGACAGTAACGAGTTCATGTTACTGACTGATAAACGGGGATCACAGTTCAGGAGGTTTTTTTATTGTAGACTCAAAGACCACATGGCTGTAAGCAAAACACTGCTTTCCTGAAGAGCCTCAATGTTTCCGACCGAATCAAATCCTCTCTCATGTCCTATCGATCTCATATTCACCCTCTCGGGTTGTCCAGGGGTTTACAATCTCGCAAAGGCGAATGTTCACGCGAATTTTCAGAGTCCAAATGTATTTTTGTAAATCTACAATAAAAGCTATCGGAAGAATTTTCTTTAGTTTCGTATCGGAAAAATATATTAAAATTTAAGGCATTTTAAAAAAAATTTCATATCGCTCAAAACACTGACTCAGGATGTAAAAAAAGATCTCATTAGTATCTGAAAAGTTTCTTTGAAACATTTTTCGACGCTGTATATATATTTAGATAAATACAAAATAACTCGCAATTTGCATCTGCCTATATCCGCGGTGAAGTCAGTGTAGCGACTAAGGTACGGGCTGGATGACCAGGGTTTGATTCCTGTCAGGGCAAGATATTTTTCTTTGTCACAATTAGACCGAATGTAGGGCTCACTCAGCTCCTATCCAGTGGGCATCAAAACTCTTTCGTCGGAGGTTAAGCGGCCGGAGCGTGAAGATTACCCCTCCACTCTCCAATACGTCTGCATAAAGCAGTACTTAGGTAAGCACCAGGGATAACTTAACCTTTAACTTCATCCATTGTCATAAGTGTGCTGGCAATTATCTCTGTTAAACATCACATCTATTTATGCCTGTGTGTTACGTACGATCCGTACTGAGATTAGCCTATTTACAATACATGTGTATCTGCAATAAACTAACATGAAATTCAATTACGGATAACAAATCACAAAGAATGCACTTGGAAGATACATTAAAGTTAATCCGAAATCTTCTAATCGTGTTGATTTAAGCGGATGCAGTAAGGTGTAACATAAGAACAACTTGTGATGATGGACCGACAGTCTACACTATCTGGCAAAAATTTGCACTTTGTATATCCCTAGTGATCTAAAATAACATACACCAGTTTTTCTCTTCCTAGTGTTCAAAATTCCAAAGTCCTCTCTACCCTGTACGTGACAGAAGCATTGAAAATTACATTTCTTTCTTTCTTTCTCCCTTGGAATTAAGTTTTCCATGCTGCACTGTTATAACGCAAACCAGTGTTTTTCTGTAAATTAAAATACGTGTTTTAAAAGTGTGGATCACGCCGTCACAGAATTGCCTTTAACAACACTCGGAACTATAGCTGAAAGCCGTACACAGTTTCAAAGTGCATTTTTGGTGATTTGTATCCCTCATTGGTTCTGAAATTCTTGCATCCGCAGATTTTACTGACAGAGCTAATCAACAGTGCATCGAGTAATAAATAATGTAACTGACAAAGAAAAACGATTGAAGATAGGCTATTACACTGCCCAGTAACATTCTTTTCCTTGAATTTCATTATATATTTCGAAAGAGTAACATTCTTTTCCTTGAATTTCATTGCACGTGATAGATTATATCCAAAAATATTTCGAAACGAAGCCAAACCTGTGAATAGTCTATTAATAAAGTCTATATTTTATTACATAAAGTTTTTTTGTAACAATTAACTGCTTTTGAGGAATCTGATACAAGAAGTCTTTTGGAATGTTTCGCCGTGTATTCTGATAGTTCACCGACGTTTCAGAGGTGTCATTGATATGATGGGATATAAAATGGCAGTACATACAATTTCCTTTTATACAAAACATCGGTATTTTATATGTACTCAAAATATGAATTCAAAAATGCTTGTAGACTGAGAAAGAAATAGGGCGATATCTCTGTGAGCAGAATGCACTCAGCAGGCCTTGTAGGGGAGTGATAGTTTTGGAGTTGCTATGGCGACCGAAAATTAATGTGCAGAACTGTGACACATATTATAAAGGCAGCGCTGATAACCCCCCCCCCCTTTCGGGATCCCACTGAACATGAAGTTGTAAATGGAACGAGAGTTAGATATAAATTGGAACCCGTTTTTGTTACAGCAAGTTATAAAGAGCTCAAAATCCCTGGGAGTTAATTATACAGAGGCTGAAAACCGAGAGTCAAATTCAGAGTTCACTGACCTTCCAAATGGATTCTTTCCCATTTTGCATTCCTCATTCTTCTTGATACTCATGTACTGCAGATACAGCATTTTCTGCACATACAGAAAATCTGTAGCAGTTTTGTTTGCCAGATCAATATAACCAAGAAACCTTTTAGGTTCCTACAGTGCACACGGAACCCTTAAAAATGTTCTCATGGTGCAGGAAATTCAGGAACAGAACATGTCAATGTTCTTACATAAATTAACTAAATTATAAAACTAAGGTTTAGTGAGTAGGATCTGAGGTTCTCGCGGAGGTGAGTCCGAAGATGACTGTCTTCTGGGT